TGACTGGATGATCAGATCTCAACCAGAAGAAGAAAGAAGAGGAAAAAATGAGTAATGTGATACAATTTGATGAACTCTACCTACACCTATGGATGCAGTAGCTCTAAAGAGGGAACAAATCCTTACAGCAAGAATCATTCCCACTGCCTCCACACACACAGTAGACAGGGATGGGAAACTTGGACATTGGCAACCCAAAATGGAGGGGTAGGGCTACAAAGGCAAGAAGTGACTAGCTTACAAGCTTTCAAGAGGGAACCTAGAGACAGGGGCCTGGAGGAAAGCAGAATCTCCAGTGAGTACTATCCAATCTGTTTAGGCGGAGCTGATGAAATGGAATGCAGATGGGTCTCTTGTGATACAATAGTGAATAACTATTATCAGGACATGATTGTGAGGGTTGGAAATGTAAAGGTAGATGTTTTGTAGCAAGGAAGGGAGTGATTAACTTTCCAGTCTAGGAGCGGAGGTCCCTGGGACCATCAACGGAGAAGAGCCGAGAGAGAGCAGTAATGCCAGAGATGGAGGCAGAGCAATGGAGCAGCTGGGGACTTTAGATCCAGAGAGGGAGAGTGACTGTGTGCTGAAGACCAAGGGGGGAGGTGGGGAAGTGTAGGGGGCAGGCTTGCAGGTTATACTCTTTGGTTGGTTGATGATGCATGGAGGGGACTGTAACCATGGCAATGAAACGCTATATGATAGGATGAATGTAAAACTAATGTTATCCCATGTAAACTATCATATAATTCACAGTAAAACATTTAAAATAATAATAATAATAATAATGGTGACTTATAAATCTCTACCTGCAGCGGGGTGGAAATGTTCTTATGAATTAGGTTTTCTTGGTTCTGAGCCAGAGGAAATGAGCTGGCTGTTATATTGCATGGGGCCAGAGGGTACCATTCTCTTAAATAAGATGGAATTGAACAGTAGTTTCCAGAAATTTGGGGATGGCTTTGAGTGCCACAGATTACCAATTACTTTATAGAAAACATTTATATTATTATAAATTCATAGAAGATAAGAATGGTGTACACAGTATGTTTTTTTTGAAGCATAGTAAAATGTGAAGGTCAGAATAGATTAGTAAAAACCATGCTAATTCAAGATAACTGAGTTAGCTTCAAGTACATAATACAATTTGATCCATTTAAAAAACTTCTGTCAAGTATTGTATGTACCTCATATAAGATATTACGTATACCCATTAGGAAATACATAGATGAACATGACAAGGAATGAATGCTGGCACGGAAAAGCTATTAAGAAATATCCCTTTTATTAGGAAAAGATACAGTATGTGCACCAATAATTTGCTTGAGCTAAACTGACCAATTTGCAAAATAAAGACTTAGTTTTAAATTATAAAAAAAAAAAATTTAAGAAGACAAAGAAAAAAATAAAGAAGACATGAAAGAGGAAAAGATCAAAATGGATGTCAGAAGAGACTCTGAAACTTGCTCTCCAGTGTAGGAGGTAAGAACAGAGGAGAAAATTTCAAAGGTCAGCTTAAGAAGACAAAGTCAAATATAATGAAATGTGCAGACCTGGAGTTAACAAAACCAAAAGAGACGAAAACACCTAACATTTCTCAAGCAAAGGGAACTTAAGAAAAAAATTCAAGCCTCAACTTGAAATATTGAGGGATTCTTTAAGCAAAATGCTCAATGATGCTGAAAGTACTAAAAGAAGATGGAAGGAATATACAGAATTACTGTAACAAAAAGAAATGGTCGATGTTCAACCATTTCAAGAGGTAGCATATGATCAAGAGCCAATGATTTTGAAGGAAGAAATTCAAGGTGCATTGATGGCATTGGCAAAGAACAAGACACTGGGAATTGATGGAATAGAAATTGAAATCTTTCAATAAACTGATGCGGCACTGGAGACACTCACTCATTTATGCCAAGAAATTTGGAAGACAACAGCCAGACCAACTGACTGGAAAAGATCCATGTATGTGCCCATTCCAAAGAGAGGTGACCCAACAGAATGCAGAAGTTATCAGACAATATCATTAATATCTCATGCAAATAAAATTTTGCTAAAGATAATACATAGAGGAGGCGGGGCTTGATGGCAGATAGGGTAGAGAGGTGCAGTGAAGATCTCTGTCAGCAATAATACAGAATACCAGGTGAAGCAGGTTCAGGAGAGAGCTCCAAACCTATGAACTGCAAATGTAGGAACACTTAAAAACTTGAAGGCTTATAGCTTGTGGAACTTGTAGCAGAAGCAAGAAATCTCATACTTTTGAATCTACTGGGCTCAGTCGCCAGGAGTCGACAACTTGGGCGAGACCAAATGGCAATACCAAGTGGGGGAGCAAGCTTACCCACCATGGACTAACGCCTGTGGGAACCTCAGAAACAAAGGTGGACAATATTCTTTATTTGGTTTGGTTTTGTTCTGATTTTTTTTTTTGGTATCTGTTCATTGGCCTCTCGCTATCTGTGCTCCCCCATTCTGGTGACTAGATGGGGTGCCTAAGAGAGTGGGCTCCCCCCACCCCCACCACTGGAAGGTTCTTCTACCACGCATGCACACAGAGCCTCTCAGCACTTAAAGGACCAGTTCCTGCTTAAAACCACCGGCAGCACCAAACAGCCACAGCGGGCCCTAAACTGTTTATTAATAGGGGAAAAGGCAAGAACAGCGGGTATAGAGAGGGAAAGAGTCTAAAAACAAAACAGGCTGAAAATTAAACAACCAACTGTGGCATTTTGAAACTTATCAGGCGACCTTGAAGGCAAGAAATTGAAAGAGGATATCAAAGTCATACTCAAATTAGGCTACAGATTTTCCTTTTTTTTTTCTCTCTTCTGAGATTACAGACTACATTATCCAATCTGTTTTTTTGTTTTTTTTTGGTTTCTCTTCTTAATTTTGGGGGCTCTTTCTCTCCCTATATTACCCAAGAAGACACAGCAATTGCTGCCATATAGTCAGCTACAATCACACCCCATAAAGTCCCACAATCCAGGCAAGAACTAATACCAAGTGCCATACACCAGGGAGGCAGACACCATCTGCAAAAGTTACTCTGAGTTAAGCAATAAAGAGTGAAAAAGGAAGCCCACCTCGTGTTCACATCTACCTGAGGCAATCAGAAAGCATAAAAAATACCAAAATACACACTCCATTAAGTATTAAGGCCACAGGTAACCACTGAACATGTCCAAGAAGTAAAGATAATACATAAACGGCTGCCAACTATACATTCACAGAGAACTTCCTGAGGTTCAAGCTGGCCTCAGAAGAGGACGTGGAATAGGGATATTTTTGCTGACGTCACGATTAATTGGGTATAAGCAGGGAATACAAGAAAGATGTTTACAGGTGGTTTACTAACTACGCAAAAGCTTTTGATTGTGTGGATTATGACAAACTATGGACAACATTGCAAAGAATGAGTATTCTGGAACACTTAATTGTGCTCATGAGGACCAAGAAACAGTGGTTCGAATAGAACAAGGGAGAACTAAATGTTTAAAATTAGCAAAGGTGTGTGCCAGGGCTGTATTCTTTCACCATACTCACTCAATCTGTATGCCAAGCAAGTATTTCAAGAAGCTTAATTATATGAAGAAAGTGGCATCAGGTTTGGAAGAAAGTTCATTAACAACCTGTGATACACAGATGATACAACCTTGCTTGCTGAAAGTGAAGAGGACTTAAAATACTTACTGATGAAGATCAAAGACCACAGCCTTCGGTATGGGTTGCAGCTCAATGTAAAGAAAACAAAAATCCTCACCACTGAACCAATAAACAACATCCATAAAAACAGAGAAAAGAATGAAGTTGTTAAAGACTTCATTTTGCTCAGATCAACCATCAACACTTATGGAAGCAGCAGTCAAGAAATCAAATGATGCACTGCATTAGCTAAGTCTACTGCACAAGACCTCTTTAAAGTGTTGAAGAGCAAAGATACCAGTTTGAGGACTAAGGTGCAGCTTATCCAAGCCATGGTATTTTCAATACCCTCATATGCATGTGAAAGTTGGACACATAGACCGTAGAATTGATGCATTTGAGTTATGGTGTTAGAGGAGAATATTAAAAGTATCGTGGACTGCCAAAAGAACAAACAGATCTCTGCTGGAAGAAGCGTAGCCAGAGTGCTCTTTGGAAACCAGGATGGTCAGAATTCATCTCTCATACTTTGGACATAATATCAGGAGTGGAGAAAAAGAAGACCCCCAACGAGGTGCATCGGCACAGATGTGGCATCAATGTGCTCTGGCGTAGCAACAACTGAGACTGATGCGGGACTGGGCAATGTTTCATTCTGTTATGCATAGGGTTGCTATGAGTCGGTACAGTTATGATTCATGTTTTTGTCAAATAACAACAACATGAATCAAATTGACTCCATGGCAGTTTTTTGGTTACTATTATTTGGGGGTTAATGAGATAATATACATGAAAACATGACAGATATCCACACCTACATAAAAATTTTAAGTTTGAAACTTGATGTGGGTTTAACATGTAAATATATAAACAATTAGCCATTAGTATGACCTGAACTTTAAAAAAAAATTGGTAAGAGAGGACATTTACGCCTTGCTTTATCAAAAAAGCCCCATTGGTGCAGCTGCCAAGTGCTCAGCTACTAATGAAAAAGTTGGCAATTCAAACTCCCCAGGTGCTCTTATGGCAATTGCACCTATAAAGATGACATCCTCAGAACCCTATGGGGCAGTGTCCTTTGTCTTACAGGGTAGCTATGAGTCGGAACTGACTCTGTGGCAGTGAGACTGGTTTTTGTTTAGGTTCTATGAAGTAATCTATTAACACCAATATCTAGAATTTCCTAGTTGTATAAAAAATAAATAAAATGTTTAATGATATAATAATCATTATAATCAATGGTGTAAATATTTTCCAGCAGAGACACATCTTGAAAATAATTTGTATATTTGGTAATTACCATATACCAAAAGAAATTTATACTGAGTAAATTTACTTTCCTAGAAACTTCTTACCTGTGTAGCCCAACCAACATTTTTCACAAAAACAGATTTCAGAAGCTGTGCTGATTTAGGAAGACAATCTTTAAAGTTGCTAGAAGCTGTAGCTGTAAGGCCAAGTTCTTCATTTGCAACCATCTACAAATAGTAAAGGACAGGCAGAAATTCTTTTCAGCACTTTTGTAAATCAACTTCAACAAAAATAGGAAGAAGTTTTCATAAAAAAACAAATTTTAAAACAATACTTTAAATGTAAAAAATTTAATAAAAATAAACATTATTAAAAACAAAATTATAGAAAAGAAAAAAGAATTAAACAATTAGTTTTATTTTCTTTTGTCTTTTTCCTCCAAAGTTGTACAGCATGTATGTTTGTAAGTACACACATATACACACATGTATTTCTTTAATGTTAAATCTTTCTATACTGTTAATTAGTCTTCAGGGGCGCCTGGTGACTCTGTAGGATAAACAATGGACTGCGAACCTCAAGGTTGGTGGTTTGAGCTCACCAGCAGCTCTGTGGAAGAAAGATGACGCTTTCTGCTCCTGTAAAGATTTACAGTCTCGGGTTGCTGTGAATTGGAACCAATTTGACTGTACTTAACCACAGCAACAAATAGTCTTCATTCATCATTAATAATTCATAATTTACTTATGAATTCATTACATCAAAATATAATAAGTTTATTTAACTATGTGGCTACAATGAATATTTAAGAAGGTTGTGATGTATACTATTAAGAAAAAACGATGTTATTTGTTAACATATTTAGTTTTTTCCCAAAGGGGCTAGGCTATTATCTCAATAAAGTAACATTTAAACTTGAGATCTGAACATTTACCAAGAATTAGATTATGCCTGGCTACCACTACTGACCATTCGAATCAGGGCATTATACTGATCCTGACAGAATGGGAAAAAACAAGGGACAATTAACTCTTAAAAACTCAGATCAACTGAGATTGGAGGACTTCTAGAGATTAATGCCCTTAGATACACTTAATAAATCTTGAACCCAAAGTAACCTGAGATCATCTTTTAGCAAAAAAACACACTGACAAACATAATAAAGAATATTAACTATGAGCAAGGTGTTTTATTTAGGAGCTCTGTTAGCGTGTTGTTGTTGTTGTTAAGTGCCATCGAGTCGGGTCCGACCCATAGCGACCCTGTACAGGGTTTCCGAGGGTGTAAATCTTTACGGGAGTAGAAAGCCTCATCTTTCTCCCGCGGATCGACTGGTAGTTTCGAACCGCTGACCTTACGGTTCGCAGCCCGATTCGTAACCACTACGCTACCAGAGCTCCTTTTTCTGTTAGCGTAGTGGGTTACATTTTGGGATTTAACTCCTCCATGGCACACAGTAGCAGTGTGCTTCATTAAATACACAAACATCTATATAAAACCAAAAGGTCACCAGTTACTCTAATGTAAAGATGAGGCAGGGAAAAGTAGAGCACTGAAAACGGAACTAGAAAAAAAGAATGTTGACACATTGTGAAAATAGTATCACTGAACAATTTATATAGCAACTGTTAAATGGGAACTTAAACTGTTAGTGAATTTTCATCAAAAACACAATAAAAATATTTTTTAAAAAACAAAACAATCTTAGAGAAAATTAGCCATACTAAGTTTAGTAGTTAAGGAAAATGAGTTCTAGGACAAGTATATTATAGTTGTTAAGTACCCTTGAGTTTGTTCTGACTCTTATCAACCCTAGATGGGAGTTTCTGAGGAGTGGCCATGGATTTGAACCACTGACCTTATGGTCCAATGCTTATACTACAGTGCCACCAGGACAAGTATATATCATGTAAAAAGGCAGTTTGACTTGTCCAAGTAACTAAAAGAAGGCCTTTGAGTTATAAGCATAGAGAATGTGGGGCAGAATGGCTCAGGATGAGACTGGAAAAGTTAAGCAGGTAAGAGTAAGGCCATTGTAAGAAGTTTTAAATTCATATCACGGGCATTAGGCAAATATTGAGGGCTTAAAATATAAAAGCTTTACATATTTACTTACAGAAGGATTAAGTACTGGTGCCTGTTTTAGAGAAGTAGCACTATTCATCACCATTGGGTAACTCGGATCCACAGGAGGAGGTGATAAGGACTTAGGTGAACTCGTGCTGCCAGGTTTTCTGAAAGAGAAAGAAATGGTCAAACACGTTCCCTTGAAGTTTTCAATTCATACAAAAATAAAGAATTGTTACAATGGAAATATCAAACTTTTTTTTGTTAGCATATTTTGTATAATTTAGCAAGTTTTTATTAATTAAATATTTTTTAAAAGAAAATTTACCTTCCTATAATTATTGGGAAAAAGGGAGCACTTCGACTTTTCTTTTCCTCTTCTGAAATTACAGATTCCAATGCTAAACAAATACGATGGCCCTATTTCAAAAGAAGAGTGCTTTCTATTATTCCACCTATTTCATTTATAATCAGTATTAATTCGTATGAAAAAAATATGTAGCTACCTCATTAGCATGATCCATATACACTTTCATTTCTTCTTTCAAGCTATTAATTTCACCTTCACCTTTTAAGGTGTAAGATTTCCCAGTGTTTTCAATCACCTGAATTAATTCTTCTGTTTTGTGGATTTTTGCTCCTAAAGTATAAGCAGAAAGCTATTTTTAATAATTTGTTTAAATATTTCAATGTTTATACTCATAATCACACTATTACATTACTAATGGCTTCTAGATGAAGATACCATTTATATTCATTTACTGACTATCAATAAAATGAGAGTCTCAAAGTATTCAATATATAAAGGCCATCCATTTTGCTGTTCTACCTATTTCTGGCTTAAGTCTAATATATATATTTTGTAAAGTCTAATATATTTTTATCACATTAAAAAAAATTGCTGCTCTCATACAAAACATAATCAAGATCGCTATGATGTATACTATGTGTTCTTTAAAGCAGGGAACTTTACAGATTAAAAAGTTAATTTTTATAGAATATATTTAGAAACAAAATTCTTTTTCAACCTATTGTTTTGCTACATTTATAATTCTTTTATCATGTGTCCATTTGAGTTTCAAATAAGAAATAAGACACTGTGTAATTAATATGTACAGTTTTATATACATATATGTAAGAGATATACTATATTAAATAAAAAACAAAATAAAAGAAATCCCGCCCCCACAAAATCCTAAATTATAAACTAGAGGAAAAAAAAAAATTATCATTCTTAGATGGTACTTACCATCATAAAACCAAACCTCAAAATCAGCACCAGGGGAATTCTCCATCAAAATACATTTAGCATATTTTGTAAAATAAGTGATTTTAGGAGATTTAGATCTTACAAGCTGTATAAATCTGGAAGCATACTGATATTTTTTCCAGTACTTTTCTAGAAGGACAAATGCAAAAAAATTATGAATTAAAAAAAAATTTACCTAAATAGGGAATAAATTATGGACTTGGCATATACATATTTCAAACAAATGTAATATTTATTTCTACTTGTCCTCAAACTTTAAATTTGATACCTTCAGGTTTACAATCCCATTATCAAATAAAAGTATTCTAGAGACTTCTATTAATTTCAATTCAAAATAAAGACAGCATAATAAAATCGCTAATACAGTGTTAAAAACATCCAAAATAAAAGAAAATCCCCCAACAAATCCTAAATTATAAACTAAAGGAAAAAAAAATTATCATGACTAACATCATGATTATTTTTAAATTTGTTTCTTTGAGTCACTAACTTCTATATTATATGTAAAGTACTAAATCCAGTAAAAATGTAAAAGTTGTTAAACTGAAAAAGATTTCTATCTTTTCAGAACCAAATGACTTTCAGGAAAAAAAAGCACAGGGTTTTATAAGCCTAATATGCAAAACCAAAGTTTGATATTCTCTGTAACTATGATCATTTATAGTTATTCAACATTCTTATCTAAAGGGATTGATTTCTAATAGTGTTAGATTAGATACATTTTCCACCCCTACAATCTATTGAAGGGGAGTTGTATGATTCAGTATAAATTTTCTCAAATCCATAAAACTAGACATAACAATCAATGGTGGCTAACCACATTATAAATGATAATTTAGGCAATATAGCAATGATTTCAACTATACAAGTACACAAATTTTATCTATAACTGCAGTTGATAAGTGCTATGGTTTCGACTCAGAGAGACCATGTATAGGGTTTTCAAGGCTTTACATTTTTTTTGCGTGAGCAGAAGGCCCGATCTTTCTTCTGCGGAGTGGTTGGTGGGTCTGAACAGCCAATCCTGTGGTTTGCAGTCCAGTGCTTATCCTATGGAGCCACCATGCTCCCATATCTGTGATATTTTAGATATTTTACTTAGTTTTTACTAACTAAATAATGAACACTTGATTAATAGTGTGTCACATCTTACCAGGTATAAAGTAGTGAATATGATCTGCAACCTAACTAAACTAAGCCATATTTATACCCTTTCATGCACAAATAGCTTATGTATATAAAAATACATTATCTAAATTTATTCAATGGAAAACTTACATACCTGGCAAATTGTCAAAGCTGTACCTACTGATATTGTCAGTAGGTGAGGGTGGTCTATCAGCAAGAGGAAAATCTTTTCCATCATGTGGGTAATAAATAGTGATCTGCCGAAAATAATTTAAGAACTCTTATTTGTTGTTGTTGTTAAGTGCTGTTGCGTCGATTCCAACCCATAGCGACCCTGTATAGTGTTTCAAAGGAGCAGCTGGTGAGCTTGAACCACTGACCTTGCAGTTCAAATGACTTCGCAGTCTGACGCATTAGCCCACAGAGCCACACCAGGACTCCAAGAACTCTTATTTACATTTAAACTTCTTAATTTTTAAAAAAAAATACAGTGTTCTAATTTAAGGGTATATCTTATAATATACCCTTAAATTAGAACACTGTATTTTCTTATTAAAAATTAAGAAGTTTAAATGTAATAGTAAATATTATTTTATTGAAAAATGCTACATTATTCTTAAAAGTAACATTATTTGGTTATTTTAAATGTAAGCCAAAGTTGAGATTGCTACTAGTTATTATTTTTAAAAATGCACAGTTAAATATGTTTACTCAGTATTTTAATTCCAGAGATAATATCATATCAGGAAAATAGATTTAAAAACTTTAAAAAAGATCATCGTAAAACAACTTGGAATGTTAAATACCATGGTGATGATTAAAAGTACAAGATAATAAAGTAAATCCACATTACCACATTTCCATCGCTAGATATTTGAAGAACTTCTTTCACATATTCTTGAGATGTATATTCCTTGAGAAGCTCCACACACACTTCCTCTGAATCAAGTATGCTCACCTAAAAACCAAAATGACCATCAGTAACAATTTTTATGTTTACTAAAACAGCCTGGAATACTTTAGAAAAAAGTACTTAACCATGGCAGGAAGGATGATTAAAGTGAAATATCAAATAGTTGTTTCACTGGGTTAACAGCCTGGGCTAGAGGTATAGCTGAGCACAGCTGTGAACCATAAGGTGCAAAGGTAAGAATGTATAATGAAGCATGAATCATAACCAATGAGAAAAATGAAAGCAGAAGGTGGGGTGGACAATAAGGGCTTTGAAGAATAATAGCAAGTCAAACAAAGCAAGACTGGTAAAATGGGAAACAAAGGACAATCAAGAAGAGGACAGAAAATTTAAAACAACAAATACCATTCCCAATTCATACATGGCATTTAAAAAACAAAACAAAACTTGATTTATATACGTATTCTTTTGTTAGAATTTAATTTTAAATTAAAAAAATTTAAAAATCGATTAGTTTACATTTTTTTATGAGACTAGAAAATGAAAACAAATGCAAAAGGAAAATATGATGGGAAGTTAAAAAATATTGCTACTAAGGTTCCAATTCATACATGCACAACTTTATTGCAAACCAAACGTGTTTAAACATGTCTCTGTGATGTGGAGAGCTGTAGAGTTCTCTCAGCAATACACTTGTTTTAGTTTCCTTAGGATGCCTTCAAATCAAAGATCCAATCAAAACAGTGGCTTTCAAGGGGATTTGCTAGGTCACTTAAAATCAAGACAGAACAATCATTTCAGAAAGTTATGGCAACTGTTTTTGGGATTCCAAAGGAGTAATATTAATAGAGGACTCCTGATGTGGCGCAGTAGGATACGCATTGGACCAAAATGTCAGTATGAACAGCAAGGTCGGTGGTTCAAACTCACCAGGCGCTCCTCGGAAACCCTATACAGGGTCACTATGAGCCGGAACTGACTTGAGGGCTCTCTTAATAGACTTTCTCGAAGGACACAGGGTAATTATGGAGGCTGGTAGCGTAGGGGTTACGAATCGTGCTGCGAATCTAAAGGTCAGCAATTTGAAACTACCAGCTGTTCCATGGCAGAAAGATGAGGCTTACTGCTCTGGTAAAGATTTACAGCCTCAGAAACCCTGTACAGGGTCCCTATGAGTAGGAACCGACTCTGCGGCACATAACAACAACATTAGGAAGAAGTTTTTTTCCCCAAATGCTCAGAGTGATGATTCTTTTATTATTTTATTATTATTATTTTTGTTTTTATTGTGAACTGAGCGATAGTTTACATGGGAAAAAACGGGTTTTACACCATCGTTTCAATGCAATGATTACAATCTCCTCTGTGCATCATCATTCAATAGTATTTGCTTCCATTTCCTCTGGGGGTTTTTTTGGGGGGGGGGGGATGTACACAAAAACACTCCAGAATATATAGTAATTTAAACAACCAAAGGGAACATTCTGCAAGACTGTCTCCTGGCCGCCAGCATCCAGTCTCTCTCTTTCCATGAGTCCAAAGTCCTCAGTTGCTCCCTCTCTCCATGGCCTCATCTCTGCCTCCATCTCTGGTGTTGCTGCTTCTCTGGATAGGGACTTGCATTCTGTCTGTGCTGTTCTCCCTTGATGGTCCTAAGGTCCTCTGTTTCTGGAGTATAAAATTAATTACTCCCCCGTTTTTGTTACAAAACTTCTACCTTTACATTGTGACAGTGGCAATTTGTCATGATAACAATTAGTCAACATCACACTCTTAAACTCCCTCTTGAAAACTTGTAAGGCAGTCGCTTCATGCTGCTATCATCCTCTCATTTTAGGTAGCCAATGTCTAAGTTGCCCATCCCTATCTACCTTGTATACAGAGGGGATAGGATTGATGCTTGATGTGAAGACTCCTTCCCTCTCAGTTGGTACCTTGAGCTACTACATCCATAAGTATAGGTCAAGTTCGTCAAATTATAGCAATTTACATTCGTTTCCTTCATCAAAAAAGTTTTTTTTTTAAATCTTTTAGGAAGAAGTTTTAAGAAAACTGAAAACTGCACTGGTAAAAAAAAAAGGCCAGGAAAGTTGTACCTAGGAATTTTTCTCCATCATGACAATGCACCTACTCATATTTCAAGGTCAAGGGCAGACACACTTTTCTAGGAGAGTTCTTTTGAAACCTTACCCTATACATCCTACAGCACTCATCTTGTCCCTTCAGACTTCTGTTTGTTCCTAAAATTCAAAGAACATTTAAAAGGAATGTGATCGGCAACCCTTGAGGCTATCAAAACTGCCATTTTGGTGTGGTATCAATCAACAGTGCAGAATTCTTCAGGGAAGGGCTATCAAACCAAACCCGCTGCCATCAAGTCAAGTCCGAGTCACAGTGATTCTATATAGGGTTTCTGAGACTGTAGATCTTTATGGGAGCAGATGGTCTCATCTTTCTTCCATGGAGGGACAGGTGGATTTGGACCTCTGACCTTATATTACAGTTAGTAGCCCAATGTCTATTCCACAGCACCATCAGGGCCCCATATAGAGAGATGGCAACACCGCCTTTAGACATGTATGGACCTAGATAGAGAATACGTCGAAAAGCAATAGCTTCACATTTTATTTTTGTTTAATAAAGGTTTTTATGCATTTGTAGCAATATTACTTCCAACTTACCCACGTATTAAGTATTAATTTTGTGACTGGAATTATGAATAAAATATAAGCACTGGTACTGATAACCTTTAGGTCAACGGCTTAAACCCACCATCCACTTCTTAGAAACCTACATAGGGTCGCTCAGTTGGAAACAATTTGACAGCACTAAACAACACCAACACAGATATTATTTTCATATATTTTTTTAATTGTTTATAATTTAAAATTCAAAACAATATTAATTTGTCATCCTTATAGTAGTCAGAAGGAACTCGAGTGACGTAGTGGGTTTAACAATGGACTGCTAAACAAAAGATCTGCAGTTTGAACCCACCAGCTGCCACAGAAAAATGCTAAAGATGAAGGAGTCTGCTTCTGGAAATATGTACAGCCTCAGAATTGTTGGAAGCTAAATGGTCACTATAAGACAAAATCGACTTGTATATTGGTCAGAGGAAAATGAGCTAGTGCTCTATAAATACCCAGTCTTTTTTCTCTTTGAATCAGTTTATCATGTAGCTACCCTAAAGCATTGGGGGGCATTACGTTGTTAAGTGCCACTGAGTTGGTTCTGACTCATAGACACCCTGTATAGGGTTTCTTAGGAGTGGCTGGTGAGTTTGAATCACTGACATTGTAGTTCAAACTGACTTTGCGGTTCAGTGCATTATCCCACAGCACCACACTAGAACACTATGGTGGTGGCAATCCATGGAGTCAGTTCCAACTCATAGTGTGCCTGAATAGGTTCCAAGGCTGCAAATCTTTACAGGAGCAGAAAGTCTCATCGTTCTCCCATGGAACGGCTGGTAGTTTTGAAATGCTGACCTTGAGGTTAGCAGCCTGACTCGTAACCATTATGCTACCAGAGCTCCTTATACCAGGATATTAAAGGAAGATACTAAAACCATATTTTAAAGAAAACATCGTATAGTAAAAATAACAAGACTCACCACAGCCTTTTTAGTTTTCTGTCTGATTGGTTTTAACCTGTGAGCATTCAAAGGAGAAGTAATGCTTCGTAATGTCTGTTTCTGGTAACCAGAGAATGGCTCCATACCCCTAGTCTTGTTTTGTTCAAGAGGAGGATCACAGTCAAATATAGATTTTTGTTGAATTATCTCAGGTTTGCTGTGAAGTGCAGGCACATATTTCATGGGATCCGGCTGTTTTACACAATGTACATTATCAGAAGCATTGGAGTTCTTTTTGGTTCTTTTATCACTCCAGGCATTTCTTGATGTGTCTTTCTGCGAATCTGGATGGCCCTGGTAATCTCTGTTTAAGCTAATGCTGTGTTCAATAGGTTCCTGTAAATGAGCTATATAGTACACACAAAACAAAGCACATTAGTGAATAACTGAAAAGTCAAGTCTACACAAAACAATGACCTGCAAAGGAATAAAAGCAATCTAGTAATTAAAAATAAAATAAAAATCTCAGAATTTTTCTGGCAAATAAGCAGTTTGAGTTTAACATAGTTTAATAATGACTGTAATAGTGACATTTGTGGAGCACAGCTAGAAGGATTACCTTTAATACTATTAAGAAGAAAAGATGCTAATATAAAATTAAATTTTCAATTATGGCAAAAACTAGTAACCATAGGTTACCTACTAATTCTAAAACGAGCAACTACCAACGGTCCAAGAAACAGCCGAGTTGAGAGGAATTCCCAGTCATTCTACACATGAAAAATATGTAAATTTACAATCCTTAATGTAAGGAAAGTCTATCCTACCTTTAGTTGGGAAAGACGCAACTAGCAGCAAAGACTGTAACATGGAATGACTTCAGTATTATTATTAATATTTAATATTACAAATTGTTACCTACATTTAAAAAAATT